TTATTATAAACAGCACATATTTGGCACAATAGTGTTTATACTAGAACACAAAACAACTTTGAATCACAGCATAATGTCCGAACAGCTCTGTTTTTTATATGGGGAAATTATATATATCGTTTTAATATGTTATTTGTTAAGTTATTAAGTAAGTCAGAGTGCATCTTTTCGAACCTTAAACCAGTCTCAGTATAGCAGTTGTAATTGACCACAGGTGAAGTTGCTGTAGGACGTTTTCAGCATTCTGTGTTAGAGTGCCCTGCAGTGGTTAAACAGAGAACTGCAAAATGTAAGTTTTTCTTTCAATTTCATCCATTGGGGAGTTTTTATGCAGAAACATGGCAACTGTGCATCTGTAGCGAGCTTGTATGTTTTTTTTTAGCTGAGGGTCTTTTTTTTGTGGATTTAATAAAATGTATTTTGTTGTCCCTCTTCAACCAAAATAAATCACATACAGTAATGTATAAACATAATAAGTGAATTAAAAAATAACGCAACTCATTCATGGTGATTAAGAATGTGAGGTGTAAAAGAAAAGGTGTAGTTAAAATGTATTCTCCACATTGGTGAAGGGTAATCTTTGCAACGCTAACCCGCCTCTCAAGGTTTGTCATTAAGGCACTGCATGTTGAAACTGTATCTAATGCACATCACCCTTTTTTACATTACTTGAGCCTCACAAATTACCCATAATTCTAATAGTAAGGATACTACCGGTCTTAACTCTTCAGTTCTTTCTGCTGAACATCAAATCCCAGGTTTAGGGTTCAACCTCTATTCCACTTCTCGTTCTGTCCTTCCTTCTGTCTAGCTGACCTCTTTTCTTATTTCTCGTACAAGAAAGGGCTCAATTCAAACAGTGCTTTGTGAAAATCCTTTAAATCCACATCCATTCAGTGAGCTGTTTTTGCTGCCTCATCATTGTACAGTACAGACCTTTCACCCCCGCATTGCCAAAGACTCCCTTTATTCTCCACAGACTGAGACTCTGAAGGCGCAGGAGGCAGGGGAGGGTACATTTGTAAAAGGAAATGTCTTTTGTACGTTTTAAATCTAATTCCATTAACATCGAGTAGCCATCAGGTCAACGAAAGTTTTGCAGGGTTAAAGTCATTTGGGTGGTGCAGTTCATTAAGGAGAGGTGTAGAAAGACCATGGCACCTTATAGCAGTTAGAGCTAATTGGTATATATCCTTTTTCTCTGACAGCCTTACTGCAACTCAAAATTAAAAATCAGTACAGTTCATTCTTTAATGTCTCGCATGGAAAAGTTGGCTTGCTGCATTACATGAAAACAAACTCTTACTTATATATAATATTTATACTTAGTCGGTCATAAATTGACCAAGCTTTACAACAGCAGGTTATTCCCATGACAAATTAATGAATTGCTGATAAAAGTAATCTTTACTTTTAGGTATCGGATAGTATTTTTAAAATGTTGGTTCAGGTGTCTTAAAAAACACTGCTATATGTACATATGTACAAAACCGCAGGAATGTACCCACAAATGCTCACACACACACACACACACACACACACACACACACACACACACACACACACACACACACACACACACACACACACACAGGTACAGCGTTATCAGAGGTCTTGCAGGTCTTTGTGCCTTTCCGCTTAGCTGGATGGTGTCGATTTTGTGGAGTATGTGTGTGCCTGGAAGTGTGTTTTTGTGTGTGATTTGTTGGCTTAGATGTAAAATCAGGATTTAACATCCTGACCAGGGCACAGAAGTCCATCTGTATATAGTACATCCAAATCCCTGTCTCTCGTGTACATTGATGTTGTCTCTTTCTAATTGCTGGGGGAAAAGACTGAATAGCATGTTTCCATAAACACTGGCAACAATAGAAAAAAGCCATCAAGTCCTAAGGAAAGAAATCAAATAACTGAGACCGAGATTTGAATAGATTATCCTCTGTTCCGCCTTCCACGGTGGGACCAGATTACCTCCAGTCGCTGCCCTAAAAGGGGGGTCTTCCTCAAGAGGTGGCAACCCAACTGCTGTTCCCTGCATCATATTATCATTACATTCCAGGAGCATTTTCCTCCTCTAAAGAGAAAATCAGGACTCCTCCTGATTGTCTTCAGACTGATTGACTGACTGACGGGAGGAGATAGGAAGAGCCTCTGGGAATTAGTGTGTGTGTGTGTGGGGGGGGGGGGGGGTGTCCTCGCAGGGCGCGGGGTTAGGGCTTCGGTCTGAGTCTTTGTGAACTGGCAGACACAAAGGGGGCAGGAATCACATCTGGTTACTTGGAGGACCCCCCCTCCCTCTCTCTTCCTTTACCGTCTCCATAGCCTCCCTAACTGCATACCTCCACCTTAAAGTCTCTCCTGAGAATGACTGATTTCCTCTTCATGAGTGAGAGCAAACAATGTGAACAAGTTATTTTATAATTTTGAACTGTTCAAATTCCCAAATGGATACGTGGATTAGAGGTTCTGTAATCGCTTCTTGTATATTCTCCTTGAGAAAATGTTCACCTTATAGCCGTTTCACAATTGTCTAATTAACCCTCCCTGTTAGCCTAATATGTACATACCGGCATGTTGCACACACAGGCACCACAAGGGTCTGTTTGTTTGTTCTGGTATGAGCCCAGTAGTCTGGTGTTGTGTTGTGAGGCTGTTTTCTATGATAAAGCATGCAGAGTTGGTCCCTTGTTGGTCCAGTAACATATGCAAACCTCTTTCCATTGCTGCAATAACATATGCAAAATAGCGCCGCTGGCCCCAGCCTCCACGCACTCACCGCCCGTTACCATTCGGATCCCACCCCCTGTTACCGTTCGGATCCCACCCGCTCTCCTCTTACACACACACACACACATACAGACACGCACACAAGCCTGTTTGCTTCTCGGATTGTATTTGATGACTGTGTGTGTGTGTTCCTTCAGATTGTAGTCTGTAACAGTCTGAGCTTTGTGTTGGCCAAAGGATTATCACAGCTTTGCCACCAGCAGCTAAGGCAAGGAGCAGAGGAGAGCAAGGCTTAGAGAGACACAGTGCATGTGTCGGGACAACTGTGGGAAATAAGGGTGTGTGTGTGTGTGTTTGACAGAGAGAGAGAGTGCGCTCATGTGTCAGTGTGTGCCTGCATGAGAGGCCACGGATGGCTGGTTGTGTGCGTCCACCTAGGGAAGCCCTTAGGACCTTCTCAAACACCCTTCTATACACACACACTAAATCGTTAGTCCTCATCCAGCTTCAGTCTTCTTTTTTTTCGGACTGGCAAAGTGTCTCTGAACAGCAGAAGAAGCAGAAGCTCTTCACGTCGAATCAGCAGGAAGTGGATCAGACTTGGATCTCTCCTGCTGTCTCGTCATCCACAGGACCGTTAGTTAAACACACACCAGCGTTTTTAATGCTGCCTCCCATGCTGGGAATTGTATGTCTAGCAAGTTTATGAATGGAGAGATTAACGCCTTCTGGGAAAGTAGGCGATGTGGATATAAGTGAGGATTTTTATTGGATTGATTCTGGTTATATACAACATTGTTTCTCTTCAAATGTAACTCCAAACAAATGCTTATCGTGCACTACTATCATCATTCTGAGTGGACCACAATAAATGGATTGGATTTGTCAGGCTACATATTTTCATCGTGATCACAAAATATCCCCTCTAGCTTTTACTGAGAAAGACAAGAGAGTCAAAGCTAAACCTCAATGTGCCATACTGACTTCCCTGCACAGCCAGACTCTCCTCTTCATTCCCATGAGAAAAAGAAAGACACCAAACTGATCTGATCCCACAGGCCCTGGCCCTGTTAGCAATTTAGATGCCCCCGATAGGAAGCGGCAGATGAAAACAGAGTGGGATGAAGGTTCATTCAGTTAATTAATATTGTAGGAGGCAGACAACTCCTCACACGCATACAGACACACATTCATGCCAGGTTTTCAGACCACTATCACAGGTTTATGGGAGAATAGGAGGGGATTTCATTTCTTCCTCTTCTTTTTTCCTCCCCTCTCTCTTGCTTTCATTCATTCTGCTGATGTGCTGGATCAGAGTGTGTGGAGATAACGCAAGCCCAAGGTCAGTAAGGGAGAGAGAGAGGTAGACCTACAGCCAATTTACATGAAGGATGAATGGGAAGAGGGGTAGAAAAGGGTGAAGGGGGCTTGAGCCGGGTACTGTGATCTCCTTAGGGTGCACATGTGTGTTTGTTTGTGTGCGCGCGCGCTCGCAAGAGGTCTGTGATCTCCCGGCCTTTGTGATGGAGATGGGCCCGGCCGGCCTGACCCGATAATGACGCGACGCTCTAATAGCATTCATCCTTTCTGCCGCAAAACTACTCAAGCGGAAAAGAGAGAGAGGGAGAGGAGGGGAACAAGGGAGAGAGGGAAGCAGCCATGGAGGGAGGGGAGGTTGCTAAGCTATGTTTAAGAAATGACGTGGGGCACAAATAATTTGTAATCTTGGAATCAGGGGGAGAGAAAGGAGGGGGCACCTTAGTTAGGTGTGTGTGTGTGTGTGTGTGTGTGTGTGTGTGTGTGTGTGTGTGTGTGTGTGTGTGTGTGTGTGTGTGTGTGTGTGTGTGTGTGTGTGTGTGTGTGTGTGTGTGTGTGTGTGTGTGTGTGTGTGTGTGTGTGTGTGTGTGTGTGTGTGTGTGTGACTAGCAGTAAATATACTGTGCCTGTGTGTCTCCTCTCTCTCTCTTTATCAGTGTATATTTGCTGTGTGCGCTGGAGCATGGAAGGCTTTCAGAACACCGGCCCATAGGGGACGGGACCCTGTGTCCAACACACACACACACACACAGATGGTTACCTATCATATAGGGTCATTACAGGCCTCTAACTATAGCCTAGTAATCACTGGTTTGTATCAGAACCCATATTCGCCGTACAATACACAGCAGCCAGTATCGGTAGAGAGCATGGGAATGAGAAGAGGGAGGTTAACCACCCCCTTATACAATTATTTAATTTAATTTTAACAAGCTCCTTTGATTTTCTCTGTGTAGACTGAGACACGCACTCCTTTGAAGCCGAAGGGAAAAGACCGGGGTCGGACCCCCGCCTACTGCTACAACTGCTCCAGGAGAGGGCACTTTGGACATGTGAGTATCTCGCTCTGTCTGGTTTTAACTGCCTTTCATTTAGTTTGTAGGCATGTTTTAGTTTGTTTCATGGACAAGTTAAAGGCACATCATTTGGTTTAATTGCTTTACAAAACTTGTTTGATTCGTACTATACACCAGATTTCGAATTTCCTTATTTTAGTAGACCTTTTTTTCCCCCCCTTCCTTTTTTATGGTGTGCATATCGGGCTCAATTTCTAGAGATTTGTCATACTGTAGGATTTTATCTTCTAGATTGTGAAAGAAAATGATAAAATCTTTGTCACTGTCGGCACCGATTTTACTAGATGTTTTGGTTATTTTGTCAGGCTTCATCTCTCGTATTACATGATTTATTTTTTCAACACAAATGTCCACCAAGTTTGCATTTCTTTAAATCTTTAATTCCTACAATAATGTTATTGTCAAATTGTTTTCAAAAATTGGCACCCTGGAAATGCTGACAATCAAGTCGCCACCATTAAAGGTGATAGATAAAGCTAGCTCCATTGGTTTTGTTTACATTCCATTACACACTCTACAGAATAACCGTAGTGATACCATAGGGATAATCTAATTTTGGCCTAAAATCCATATCATCTTTGTAGTTTCAATTTCTATTTGAATATGATGCCATAAATATATTTTACGTATTTGAATGTGATATTTGTGCTTGTACATTCGGTCATGCTTTGGTGTGGTTTCCTCAGGTGTGTACACGAAAAAGGATGTTCAACGGGACGTATCCCAGCACACCGTTTATCAACTACTACGACACTAAGAAGGAGATCAAAAGTAGAGTAAAGTGGATATTATTGAAGGTTAAAGGTAATTCACACACAGAAACACACACCTTTTCACTTAAATGAAGTCATAATTGTTCTCTTACCTGTGGTCTTGAGTTGTATTTAGATACATAATAAATTAATGCTTTTTTCTTTTTGTTCTTTCCGCAGAGCTGAAAAAAAATGGCCTTTTAACTAACAGTTCTCAGACCCCTTTCACTCCAGGACCGCCAAACAAGAGACAGAAGTTCAGCCATCACGAAAGCAACCAACAGACCCACCATACACCTCGCCAAAGCCCTAGCAACCACAAACCAGGCCATGTCTTTTTCAATGACGATGACTTTCAGGCTCCAGCACCCAAAGCGAGATGGAACAATAGGCCCAAACAACAGGAAGGCACTGAGAAACCATGGAAACCCAAGAGACCGGTCCCCACTTCCATAAAACCTCTTCCACCCAAAAAAATAATTTTGAATGAAACGGATGACTTTCCCAGAGGAGGAGGCAAAAGAGGAGATACAGAGAAGAAGGGGAAGAAGTTGAGGAAAAAGAATCATGTTCCTGAAAAGCTACCAAAATACCAACCTCATTGGCTTGAAACTGAAGAGATGCAGGGGTCAGCGTCAAAGCAAGTGAAAGGAAAGAGGAACCGATACCGGAAGAACTCCGATGCTTCACAGTACCCAACGGATGAGAACCTGTTTACCATCAAACAGAGGAAACGCCACAGATGGCGGTGATCTTCATGACCAGTTCATCGTGTGTGGTCAGGACATTTCAGGAGTCTCAGGCATTTTGTTAGACTGCCAGTGCTGCTGTTGAGGGTTCATAGGCCTGTTTAATTGAAGACCTTTTCAAATGTCACAGTAAGAAGAGCACAGTTATAATTAATAAAATGAGTAATGAATATTTTGATCTGCTTTAGTTTTCATGTCCTGGTACTGTGCATGTTGACTCACTTTCACACTAAAGAGCTCACTTGAGCAGAACAGAGCCATTGTTGTTGTGATAGTCAGGTTTGTATTTGAACATTTAAACTCTTGAATCTTTCTTCATGTTTCTACAAGTCCCATACTGAGAAACACTCCTAATACATCATTATAGTGTCATCATAATACAATATTGATTCATTGAACAACAACATTGGCTGATAACACAAAATCTGAAAGATGTTTTTGATTCATTTAAATTAAATGCAGGGGCCTGTGAAGCTTACATACCCATGTATATCAACTTTCGAAAAACAACAAAGATGTGGTTTGACTTTTTCTTTTTAAACGGGATTGGTTGATGTTTTTATTTTTGCATTGATGATATTTGATCCTTGACCATTGAATAGTTTAGAAAGGTATATGCAGTATAACCAGAAGGGATGATCATGACAAGCAAAGCTTTCCTTAAAAGTTGGAGCTGTATTTGATTCTGGAGTTGCTTTTTCAGTTTCTCCTTGTGGTTAGTGTGAATAATAACCTTTATCGAACAGTGGCCTCATTTTAACAATTCATTCATTGTTTTAATGTATCTGGAGACCGACAAGTAAGAAACCAGGTAGGAGTTCATAAGATCAGTTTTTTTAAAGGGAAAGTTCATTATTTTCCTCTTACCTTAAGTGCTATGTTTCAATCAGCTCCTTGCAGCTCAGCCGTGGAGGACACCCTCAATGTTTAAATCTCACCCCGTTGAAAGCACATGCCTATGACCAGATGCAGTTGGCATGTGTACAGTAGACCGTTAGAAAGATAATAATCCTCCCAACAACAAGTTATTTTGATTATCTTGGCTAACTGGGTCATGATTTCTGATTTCTGAAAGAGACATTGCTGTTAGTTATTTAAAAAACAAAAAACTGTTGCTGTTTAGAGCACCACAAACCAGATGCCATCTAGTACCAATATATTTTAGAAAAAGGCAGACATTTCTACAGTTTAAATCTCCAACACTGTACAACTAACCCCAAAACAATCTAGAGTGATTCATAGCACTACACTTTTTATTGTAGGTGAATTGTCCATTTTGGGCAATTACTGTCTTCAAAACAAACCAAACATTCAGGTGTATCAATTATCATTAGATTACTTAATAAGTAATGGTTGAAATTGATCTATGGATGTCATGGTTATCATATTCTCCAATTTCTTAGTTCACATTAGTTTCCGCTTATTACATATTGAATTAATAACAGACTCTGCTCTTTGAAGGATCATCTCATAGTGCCTCAACTCTGAACACTTGAAGTTGTGTGCATTTTGAACCAAAGAATGGGAAGGTTTGTTTTAAATAGTCTTTGAAATGTTCTTTTTTTTATTCAATGACTGAGATGCCTTGTAAGTGAGATTTAAAATATGTGGACATACTGTAAATACCTAAATAACACTTGTTTAATGCCGATCTGCAGAAAGTTGTCTCATCAGTTATTTTGTGAAACAAGGCTACCTGAAGTTTTGTGTACTGATACAACTTGAATCAGCTCTGGCATATGAGTTCTGTGATTCAGAAAATAAATCATTTAAGGCTTTATCTAAGACCTGTTCACATGGTTTATTCAGTAACTGTCTAATAATTGCTCACAATTCTTGTGTTATGTAATTTACGGTGATGACATAAAAAATGGCTCCAATCCCTAAATGTCTCTTTTTTTTTCCTCCACCAGATGTGCAACGTATTGCAATATCAGGTATTTTTCTTATATTAGTCGATCCCACATTTCTTTCCAAGTTATTAAAAGATGCTCAAAAAAGATGGAGAGACACACATTATCTCAATTTTTTTTAAACTGTATAGAGAAGATGAGAATACATGTTTTCATTCAGAGGCTTGAAAGAGTAAAAACAAAAATACTGCCTTGGAGGACCGAGATTATGACCATTTAAAATATGGATATTTTGTTTATTTTACAGTTTTGGATAAAAGTAGAGGAAGATGAGCTCACATGTATAATGCCTTCATATTTTAACTGTCATTAATTTAAAAAAAACGTGTAGAGTGGAATCAGTGGACAATATTCAAACGTAATTCAGATTTCTAAATTCAAACCCGGATTTTTCATTTATGCAATAGAAAAAGTAAAACATGTATTTTTCTAACATTTGAAAAAGAATTCGCAGTGAGAAACACTTTACAATACAACTTTTGTGTACTATTTTAAATTTGCTACTCAAACCACAGTTCAAACAATGGGAAATAACTAAATGATAGTTAGTAACATGAATATTCACATCCCACCATTGCAAGATTTGATTTGACTTATCTCGGTTTAGTTGGTTTCTTACTAGTTGAAACCAGCATAGACTGTATTGAAACAGTCATTGAACCCCTCTTGCGTCATATCACATAATTACCACGATTGCGGAAACCTGTGAAGGCAACAGATGAGAAACTCGTGACGCGTTACGTCGCTCCGCCCCGCGCTGTCGACAGTCCTCGCATCTTGAGCTACATTTCCCCTTTTATGTGCTGTTAAAGGCTTCAGTGTGAGCATACTCGCCTCGTTTAAGCATATCTGGTGAGCTGGACAGCTTCTTGACTCGGAACAGCAGCGACATGGAGAACGGTTCATCCATAGCGGGAGACTCTGAGCTGCAGCAGGCTGTCAGGCAGTGGCTGCAGTTTGACAAGGTGAGCTGACAGCTAGCTGCTAGCTGCATGTGCTGAGTCTGTTACCTGCTGGGTTATAAGCGATTCACTGTCAAACTATAACTTACATTACATTACATTGCATTTATCTGACGCTTTTATCCAAAGCGACTTACAATAAGTACATTCGACCAGGAAGACGGTTTAACCATGTCCTGGATGTAGGAAGGGCCAGATCCATTCGCAGCATGGTAAGCAAGTACCAGTGTCTTGAAGTGGATTCTAGCAGTTACCGGAAGCTAGTGAAGGGAGCGGAGGAGCGGAGTGGTGTGGGAGAATGTAGGAAGGTTGAAGACACTTACAGCCACTGTTCTGTTCTACTGTACGCTATTATTATATAGTGTGTAGCGTGATAATATGTTTAGAGTGGTGGAGGAAGTTGTCTGATCTGTTTGCTAAAAGTTGATTTACTACAGTGTATGGACATAGAAATGCATTGAGTACCCAATGTGTTTATCATATTATTGGATTCTATTGGTTTCATATGTTCATCACTTTAATGTTGCAGTTGGTTAAGGTGAAGCTAATTTAGTTTAATATGCTTGGTAGTTTGATCTTAATAATACATCATGATTGATTAGTTATATTATTATATTTTGTATTAATAATCTGAATCTGTTTATTAGCGAATTATGCCAGAAAATATCAAATATCCCTCTGAGTTTTAGTTGAGTATCATTTTAGAGTTACTCAAGTAAAGTTAAAAGTAAGCAACTTTAGTACATGTGCTTTCCCCCATAGTTTTTTTGTATAGCATTTCACAAGAATCACTAACTAACTTTTACTGCAAATGTGGCGTCAGGTACAGCGAGTGACTGACATCATACACAAAAAGGCTATTTCATAATAAGCTTTTAATAGAAACACTTTACTGTGACCTTTTTAATAATGCTTTATTTTACAGGTCTGTAATTGTCATAATTCTAGGCTCATAAACAAATCCTGCAAGACTATTATTATTCAAGGGAATACAGAGACATTGATTATTTGCTCCCTTCCCAAACCAATAAATAATCACAAATCCTTTTTAGTTTTACCAAGTAAGTTTAACATGCAAAATGTAAAATCTGTCAACAGGCAAGTCTCCAATAAATACATAAATAATGAATGCATATAATTGGAGTAGTTCTTTAATATAGGTTACCTTTTAACCCTACCAAAACCATAGTTATCTGGAAACCTCCAAGGAAAATGTATGTAAATAATGCATTCTTTAAATAAAGCTTTGTGTTCTCGGTGTATACGTTTTTATTTAGTTAAGTTACAATTATTTAGCTGTAAATCAAAACACAACATATTTACATGCTATGTTTCTCTGCCTCCCTACTGTCCTCATCAAAAGGACAAAGGAACTTAAACAGGCGGATATTCAGATTATTAGTAAATTCCCAGAGAGAAAGCTCAGGTCTCGTGTAAAAGAGCAAACTGACATGTAATCAGACTAACGTGCATCCGGCCCTCAGACCTAAACAAACCAAGTCATTCATGGCCTTAAAGAGACGGGGGATGCCTCTCATCAGGTCACATTAGAAAAGGGACCCTGGTTCATTAGTCTTCACATTTGTGTTAGGGCAGTTTGTCAAATGGCACATCATATGGACCCACATGCTGTGTTTATGGCTGTCAATTCTCCCCAGACTTATTCTTCAGTACAAGTTATTATCTTTTGGGGAAAATGGACACGATATTAATTCACAACTTAATGCAATATAGTTGATAAAGATTCCTGCGTTTTGCTTGTAAGTCCCTCAGAAGAACAAGTACATCTTTCCTTGAAACTGCACATTATAGTAGCTTTATATTATATTACACATAACAATTTATTAGCAGCAAAGCACTTTGTTTAAAAGTGCTATATAAACGTAACCATGTACACACACTGACTAACTTAACAGACCTAAACCACATGTTTCTTTAAATGTCCCAGTGTTAGCGAGCCATCCAGTTTTCAACTGCAGTCTTCAGCATAGATCTATTCTCGAATATCTTGCCAAACACTTCAATGCTCAAGTAAATGTTCTAGTATTGTAATGTAGTCAAATCCTCTTGAGATTTGGGAAAATGTGCAGTTTTTACATTACTTTCTGATGTTTTATTGACTATCAAACTAACTTTTCAAACCCAATCTCCAGTTGACTGTTATTAATACATTTAATTATGTTTGATTTATTCAAATATGTTCATGTTTTCCTTCCCCAGAATCCCAAGACCGTGTCAATGGTGCAGGACCTGGTGAAGGAAGGTGCAGTGGAGGCTTTGAAGAAATGCTTCTCCTCCAGGATGGAGTTTGGTACAGCAGGTCTGAGAGCAGCTATGGGCCCCGGCACATGCTGTATGAATGACCTCACTATCATCCAGACCACACAGGTTGGCTAATAGATAAACTACTACCACACATTAAGCATCAAGTCACATGCAAAGCCAGACGTTATTGATTTTGTTCTCTGATGTTTGAAAATACATGTCACAGTAGTATCTCAGTGCAGCGATTGTTTTACTGACTACCTGTAGGTGTTGTTAAATGTCACACAATGCAAGTTTAGAAACATTCTTCTCCTATTTCTCTGAATCTTTTCTTTTTTACAGGGTTTCTGTAGCTACCTGGAGGACAGTTTTGATAACATTAAGGAGCGTGGGGTGGTGATTGGGTACGACGCCCGGGCCCACCCCCCCAGCGGGGGCGGCAGCAAACGCTTCGCCAGCCTGATCGCTGCTGTGTTCATCAGCCGGGGGGTGCCGGTCCACCTGTTCTCTGATATCACCCCGACACCCTTTGTGGTAATCACTTACACTTTTGTAATTTCCTCATTTTTTTTATTGCAGTCACAGATGATATAGTACCTTACCAATAGAAAATAACATCAGTTAAACATTCTCACAATCAAATTTGTAAGGTATATTTGTGATTGAATACATATGAAGTCAGATCAGTTGGTCTGGTGTAAGTGTTGCGTTGGTACAGTGGGACAGAAGCTACAGGGCAAATTCCATTCAAAAAGTACACTTCCCCTTTATTTAGTGGACATTGCATAAGTCACATAGGTAACGCCCAGTTGGTCATAATGCTGTCGTCTCTCAGAGGACTCAAATCATTTAGCATAAATCAAGTTTGTTCTGTATTCTGTTTGCTTGCTTGCTGTTTTGCTTAAAATGACCAACAGCCGGTAACAACAAAAATAGTTTGTGTCTGTATGAGGCGCGCACTTATTTTTTCTCTGAAACTATTTACTAGATTTTCACCTGGAAATGTCCTAATGCATGTCATGTTGGGCTAATGTTTATCTGTCGACATTGACAAATTGTGGCCTTGCAGTACACACTATTTGATATTGTGTATGTGTAGTATTTCTTTGAAATGATTGGAAATATGACACATTTCTCCTCTGCTCCCTGCAGCCGTTCACAGTTTCTCAGCTGGGTCTGTGCGCTGGTATCATGGTGACCGCCTCGCACAACCCCAAACAGGACAATGGCTACAAGGTAACTTCCTCACCACCTCCCTGTTGTTTTAAGTTGTAACATCTAGTTCAGTTTAAGTTCCTGTTTTGTATGTCATGTCTAGTGGTTTCAGACTGTTGAGATAATAGCTCATTTCAACATTTGACTGCATGAAATTATGTTTTGCTTTTTTAATAGATTTCTAACTTTTTAAAGAAAAATGTTTAACCAATACAAAAATATAATATAATCAGCACATTTATCGATATTTTAAACAAGTCACAATCCTAATTCTGTCATTCTTCCTTTCCTGTGCTGCTTTGTCTGTGTCTCAGGTGTACTGGGAGAACGGGGCCCAGATCGTCTCTCCTCATGACAAAGGTATCGCCAAGGCCATAGAGGAGAACCTGGAGCCCTGGCCCAAGTCCTGGAGCACAGAGGAGGCCCTGAAGAGCCCCCTGCTCAAAGACCCCTACCAGGACATCCACACACAATACTTCAAAGCCATCCAGAAACACTGTCACCACAGGTGCCCCATAAATAACTAGAGATTA